CCTTAAGGGTATCCTCAACAGAGGTGGAAAGTAAATAAAATTTCCTGGCTTGTCATTTTCCCCTCTCTCTTTTGCAGTTGTAAAATTTGCTTCCTTCTGCTTCATGGGAATTATTCCCATTGACAAAGATTTGATGTAAAGGTATCATCTACTTTCTTCTTCTCACCTGTTTCAGACTTCTGAAATGTACACCATCGGCACCTGGGCACTTTCCCAATGATCGCTGCATGATTTTGTTTAAATATGATGTCTTGTTGAATATGTATCTCCCACAGAGTATCCTGTACATCTTCCTGAGGTATTCAACAGCCTCATCTTCACCTCTCCCTATCAAAGCTGAATCAAAGTCTATATTTAACATCTTACTAAAAACTTTTAAGACAAGTAAAGATTTTGTGTATTTCACTTTATGTTAATTGTTATAACCTAAATAACCAGCACTTAAAACTGGAGTCAATGGGAATCGGAGGAAAATCCAACAAATGGTAGGATGGTTGTGCTTGTTGGAGGTCGGTCATCTCAGCTCCAGAGCATCTCTGCAGGAGTTCCTAAGGGTAGCGTCCTAGATCCAACCATCTTCAATTGCTTCTTCAATGGCCTTCCTTCCATCATTAGCTCACAAGTAGGGATTTTCGTTGATGACTGTACAATGTTCAACATCATTCATGACTCCTTTGATACCGAAGCAGTTCATGTTGAAACGCAAAGTGGCAAGTAACGCTGGTGCCAGACAAACCATCTCCAATAAGAGACGGTCTGGCCACTATCTCTTGACATTCAATAACCTTACCAGCACAGAAGTCCCCCATTATCAATATCCTGGGGTTTGCTGTTGACCAGAAATTGAACTGGACCAGTTATTTAAATACTGTGGCTATGAAAGCCAGTCAGAGAATAGGCATCTCCAAAAAAAAATTTCACCTCTTGACTCCACTACAAGGCCTAAGTCAGGGGTGTGATGGAATACACCCTTCTTGAAACTCCAACAATATTCAAGACATTTGACACCACTCAGGACAAACAGTCCACTTCATTGACACAACACCCACAAATATTTATTGTCTCCACTAGCGAGCTCAGTAGCAGCAGTGTGTGCCACCTACAAGATGCACTGCAGAAGTTCATTAAGGCTGCTTAGACAGCACCTTCTAGTGGTTGTAAGTTTTGAAGAATAAGCAGATACATGGGAACACTATCACCTAAGAATTCCCCTCCAAGCCATTCACCATCCTGACTTGTAAATATATCGCTGTTCCTTCAGTGACACTGGGTAAAAATCCTGGGCAATGGCAATGGTGCCTACAGACTGCAACAGTTCAAATGGGCAGCTCACAACCACCTTTAGAGGGATGGGCAATAAGTGCTGGCCTAGCCAGCAATGTCTGCATCCCATGAACGAATAAAACAAATCTAACTGAACAGACAAATGAGGCTCCAGTTCAATGAATTAAAGATAGCTATCCAAGAAGAAAAACAGAAAGCCCCTCGTAAAAAGGGAAAAAAAGGACAGGCCCCTCTTAGTAGTGCATTGATGTATCAAACTATGCATGCTTAAGATTGCAATCAGACTTGCCTTCTGACTCTTTAGCAAGAGCTGGCTGAACCAAATGAACTGCTGCATCACACTGAACACACAGACCATGAATATGACGATACCATGATAAGTTGTCACAGTCAATTCCTACTCAATGGTGAGTCAGCTGGTTATAAAAAAAAGGCGCAGCAACCAGTGGTATCATTAACAGCTAGGATCTCTTCATCACTATCCAGTCATAATGACTGGAAGGCCTTGGTTTTGGCTTCAGCTAAAGTTGCTTGGCTCTACAGTATCCAAAACCAAATATATCATCCACATTTACTGTCCAGGCTTGCACATGAAGAATGACTGTACAGGGGAAGATAGCAAATGGCCCAACCCCAATTAAGAGAAAAAAAGGATTAAAAACTGAGAACACTACGAGGAATGAGAAGAGGGATTAAAAACTTTGGATTCTGAAGTTGCTGCACCTCCTGACCAACAAAAAATGAGTGTGGTGTTGATGGCAGCAGTATTCACAACTTCTCATCAGGAACAGCGAGATTCTGAAAATTTTACTACTCTTTAGCATCAAAGGTAGGGCTTGAAGAGAGGGGAGAAAAGCCAAAGGGAGTTAATCCTGTAGGATCACTCATGTGATCACCTGTGAAACACCATCTAACTGGGATATGACTGATCATTAACTTGGTCAGTTAAAACTGATTCAGAGATAGTAGGAACTGCCGATGCTGGAGAATCTGAGATGACAAGGTGTAGAGATGAATGAACACAGCAGACCAAGCAGCATCAGAGGAGCAGGAAAGCTGACATTTCGGGTCTGGATTCTTTTCTGAAGAAGGGTCCAAACTCGAAACGTCAGCTTTCCTGCTCCTCTGATGCTGCTTGGCCTGCTGTGTTCATCCAGTTGTACACCTTTGGTCAGTTAAAAGCTAGATTTGGCCCAGTTACTAATTTAGTACCTGTCTATAAATGCGTTTTTTTAATATAATCTTAATTCCTGTCCCTGGTTGAGTTACAAATCGAGGTCAAAATAAGTCTCCTCATCTTCCTTTCCACCAAACAAACTCAAACTGCAGTAAAACATTCAATCCACTCTAGAGGCAAGACATGTTCATAATCTGAACATCCTTACTGTCTGTCAAACCAACTAAAACCCAGCCCTCACAGTCTTGAAAAATATTGTACACAGTGGATATAAAATACTTGAACATTTCTATGCCACTCTGACATTAAACAATGTTCTGAATTTTGCCCCATGCAAAATCTATACAAATATACCAGTGCTCTTCTATCCATATATAGAAGGCATTAGATTAAGCAATTATATTTATACTTTTCCCTGAACCTAATAACAAGAAAGACTTTTGATGGTCACCCCTTTGAGAATGACAGCAATGTACTTTTTATGCAATTGTTCTTTATTTTCATTTGGATTTAATAGTCCATTGGTTAAATTTTGAAAGTCAATAAACAGCATTTTTTTTGAGTAATCCAGCAGTATAGTCTCATACAGCTCAAAAGATAACCATTTGGTTCATCATATCAGTGCTTCAAATTGAGCTACTCAAGTTAGTCATACTTCTTTGATTTTTCATAAAGTCCAGCAAATCTTTCATTCAAGTATTTATCCACTTCCTTTTGAAAGTAACTACTGTATCAGCTTCCACTATCTGCTTTTCAGGGTAGCACATTTCAGCTCATTAAATTGCTGCACTAAACATTTCTCACCTTCCCTTCTACACTGTAACTGTTCAAAACAACAGCTCAACACAACCTTCAAGGGCAGTTAGGGACGGACAATAAATGTTGGCCTGACAGCTAGTTACACCCATATTTCCCCAAATGAGTGAAAACCAAAAGTTAGAAGTGATTACATTTCACAAGTTTTCCATTCGCTATAAAATGCTTTTGGACATCATGAGGTTATGAAAAGCACTATATAAAAGCAAGTCTCTTTCTGGTTTATTTGTTAATTATTTTATGCAATATGATCAAAAATTGAAACAACTCACACACGTTTCCCTTTTTCTCTCTCTAATGACAGGAAATTTCTGAGACTTGGAAAAGGAAGGATCTGTCTGACAGCAGCAGGATAGAGGAACTATTAGAGTTTATAGTAATAGAACAGTCTGGTGAAAGGGGCAGAAGAGTCAAGTTATTGTCTCATTAGACTGTCCTCCCCTTGTTATGGCAACAAAACCAGATGCACGACAGCTATCTACCAACCACCGTGTTATAGAGGAACAGTTAGTGCTCTTCTTTGACATGGTTTGAAATTCATAAGCACCAAGAATCTCTACCTGTGCCTTCTAATTTCAGACAGTGTGGCCACTATGTAAAAGTTACTCATTTTAAAATTGAAATCAGGCCATATTTACAATGACAGGACACTGTTTACCTAAGTCCCACAATCTCCACCATCTTGCCTCTTTATGTTCCCTTCTCTCAAAACCCAGTAGAAGCCTGTCACCAGCAAGTCTCCATTTTATCAGCCAAAAGGCACAGTGCATATCTCTGACTTACCATTGTAAGGGTCACATTTTGGAGGAGGAACTAAATTATAGCAGCACAAAATAAGCTGTCAGGGGATGGAGCAGAAGGCTATTCTTCTTCACAGAGTGGATGATAATTCCACATAAAATTCACAGCAGTAAAAGCAGAACCAAAAGCCATTGATGGCCACACATCATCCGCTAGAACTCCCCCTGACTCAGGTACCAGATTAGTCGAGACCAAAAAGGTTGTTTAAAATTATGCATGCATAAACACTACCACCAAAAAAGTAAGAGCAGCAACAGATGTCATCACTAAATTATTTTATTGACCTTACCAAAATTTTAGTGGAAAGTATTTAAACCCATTGCTACAAGGAACATATGATTCACCCCAGGTACGCATAGAAACACAAGTCCAGAGGAAGAAGTGGCAATATTTGGAGAGTTTGATCTGCTATTTTGATTAGAGTGTAGAAACACCAATCAGCACCGCCAATTAGTTACCCCCCACCCCACACCATCCACAGAATACTTTTGACTTTGAAACCAATAAGAAACATGGTTAGGTTTGACAAGATAAAATCAACATTTTCATTTCCAGACCAATCAAATGATAAAACAATGAGTGGTATTTGAAAAATCACCTTAGTTTTGCCAAAATAGTTCGCGTTCCAAAAGTGGTTATGCGACAAGGTTGTTTCAAATGTTATCAAAAGAACTCCTATTTACAGCAGACATACTTGCATAAAACCAGATGGCTTATATAGAAAGGTATTTCTAAATAGTTATGTTGTTGCTTTCTATAAATCCAATGCCTAAGGTGTGCCGCAAACAAAGGATAAACAAAAATGCCCCACTCCATACCAACCAAATACAGTTCTGTAACAACCTTACGGCACGATTTTAACTAAAATAAATTAAACAAATAAGGCTAAAACGGATCAAAGATTTATTGTCACATTTCATACCTCTGAAGAGAAAATTTCAGCCCTGAAGGAAAAAAGCTGAGATCAGTGGAAGTTGTTTGTCTGCTGAAGTTAATGTGCAGCCTGGCACGAAAGCCGACCTGTGCCTGGGAAAACACATACACACACACAGAGGCGGGCACACGATGCTACTTTTCAGTTGCTGCAGCTTTCTAAGTAGCTCTGCTGATTCGAAAGGCTTTCACAACAACCGCGCACGTCCCAGCGAGAGACGCTTCAGTTTTTGGTAGGTTTTCTTTCACGGTGTGTTGGCATGACTACAGTTTCGTGAATGACTAATTTGAAAACAAAACAGCTTTCTTTTTTAGAGCAAGTTACCTCAACAGACATCCACGTCATAAGCTCTCTCCACCCATGGGAGGCTAGTGATTAAACAGGAAACTGAGCACGGAACTTCCTTCTTTCTCTGTGGGCAATTTAAATATTAATAAAGAAGACTTCAGTTTTGCGAACAACTGCTCGATGCGGGAAGCTAATCCCAGACTCCAGTCATACTTCTGGTTTGGGACTGTCAACATCCTGAATAAAGGTTAATGGTATTAACAAAAAATTTTTGATAATGCATATCAAAAATGTCAATGGAAAGAAAAATAACAAAAATATGGTAACCATCAAAGACCCAATCCGAAAGAGGCCAGCCCCTCACCCAATCAGTATATCGCCCACCAGAATATTCCATCTGAAGTCTAATCAGTCTCCTGTATAGGTTCAGCATAAACTCCCTGGTCTTGTAGTCCATGCCCCTGCTAATGAAACATAAATACTGTATGCTTTATAAACAACTCTCTCTATCTGTCCTGCTACCTTTAACAATTTGTACGCAGATACTAATAACAACCGAAAGAACTGCGGATGCTGTAAATCAGGAACAAAAACAAAGTGGCTGGAAAAGCTCAGCAGGTGACCCTTCCTCAGAACTGATTTCTGGACCCGAAACGTTAATTCTGTTTTCTCCTTCACAGATGCTGCCAGACCTGCTGAGCTTTACCAGCCACTTTGTTTTTGTTGTTGTTGTTGTGTACACAGATACATCCAGGTCGCTGTAGTCCTGCACACCCTTTAGAATAGTACCCTTTATTTTACACTGTCTCTCCATGTTCTCTGTGCCAAAGTGTAGCATTTCACACTTTTCCACATTGAACATCACCTGCTACCTATCCGTGTATGCCACCAACTTGTCAACATATCTTTTTGAAGTTCTGCACTGTCTTCTTCACAGTTTACAACACTTCCATGTTATAGATTGTCTGTAAACTTTGAAGATTATCCCATGGTGTCGGCTATGAATGACTGTGCGAATGCATAGCCAGTCACAGTAGTATCAGGCCTGTTTGCCAGAAACACTTGGTAAACTGGATCAAAAATTGGAGTAGTCCACTACCGTCTTCAGTTTTGTGCTGGCTTCAGCATGTGTGCATCTGATGTCTCCATGGACAGGTTGGCAACCAGCATGGAAATCTGGGTTCAGTAAAATGCTCAGTGGCAGCCAGAAATACATGAGAATCAGCACTCCATCACTTCAGCCAAGTTGCTTAGCATCAACAGCAAGACGTTACTCCAGATGTCCCTTCCTCTGAAGAAGACAGGGTGGTGGCAGCAGGCACCCAGACAAAGGAGGAACCACAAACAGATCTCCCACAAGTCTCCTCTCAGGATACTTCACAAATGCCATAGCCCTCCACCTTCACACTGCCTTGATCCCTAACACTGTGGAAGCTAAAGTTGAGGAGTGTGAGCCTGCATCAGGGCAGGGCACTCCCAGCATGTCGGATTGAATGAATGATTTTACTGTCACATATATTTGGAAAATTAGAGTGAAAAGTGTTCTGTTGCCACAATCTGGCGCCATTTTGGATTACAAAATGATTAAGAAGAAATTACTTAAATAGAGCCTCATCTTCTCATCAATTGACAGAAAAATATAAATGCAGAAAAATAAGAAATAATGTTCAAACTTACAGTTCTTATTGTCAAGCACGGCTCCAGTTTTTCTTAAGGGGCTTCTGTAAGGCATTCAGGTCTCCGGGCCATTTCTGGTCCATCCGATGCCCCAGGAGACCCCGGCTCCACTGCCGCTGCCTTGTTGACATTGCTAGGAGTCCTGATCAGGACCTACCGCAACCACAAACCTCGCTGCATTAGCCATGAGTCCCACTCCAGCCTCCTCCTCCGAATGGGCCCATGAGCAACAAATACCCTTAGGGACATCCTCTCAAATCTTTCTGGGCAACAGGCTCCACTGCAGAGTTGGTTCCGTCCACAAATATGGACCTGAGGACTGCAACTAGATGCAATGGGCGAGTATGGGGGAAAAAACTCAACACATAGGTAGCACAGGTGAAACTGGTGTAAATACACTCTCACATCTTAAAATGTATGCACTTTAAATCATCACATGTCTGATCAATTGTCATGTTAGCTGTATGACCTGGTTATGTGGCTGCCATATCAAAGACAAATAGCTTCTTCATACATCAGGAGCTCACTTAGTCCAAAATTACTGTGAACACTTTGTAATAGGTCCTTGCCTCCACTCGTGTTCTACATAAACTTGTGTGTGACTACACAATCATTTATGATTGCACATTTCTTTTCATTCTAAGTGTCTTAAAAAGGAACCTACAGTCATTTAAGAATGGACATTGTCCAGTGTTCAATTAACATCCAAATTCTGCTTCGTAGAACAAACATGTCCACACTGCCCCAGCAGAGAGAAAAAACATACTCCAACAACTGTGAATGTGTCTGCAGACATTTTTCATGATCAATATCTCTTATTTTCCTTCAGCATCTGGTCTACCACATTGCCATGAGAACCATGCACCCTTATATTTTTAGTTGCCTTCCTTTAAATTAATTATTTGCTTCACAGCATAATACTTCCAATCCCCACATCTGAGTTTCCCACTTTCCCCAACACAGCAAGAACTGCCCCTGATAAACCCTCTTGACGTTTATTGGGCCAAACCCAGGACTACCTGTAGCCCACCCCTTGGACTTACTTTTGAGGACAGCCACAATTGAGCACGGCTCAGCCACCTAACCAATGCCTCTATCATTCCCCAACTGACTTACCTGTAACCCCTCTAGAGTGTTTGGACTTGACCTGCAGGACTGACAGTGGCTCAGTACAGACCAACACGACAGGAATTTTTGGACCCTGATTGCACCAAGTGTCTGACTTACTGTGGCCAATTCCCCTAGATTAAGATGTGATGACACCCTCAACTAAGTCTGCTATGACCTCAACTGACCAAAGAACACCCTTTCCCCTTCCTCTCGACTAAGGACGACTTCGCTTGGACTTTGAGACATGGTCATTTGGTTGAAGTACATGCAGTGTGTTTGCTATGTATGCTGCTGGCACATGCTGTAGGCATGACACAGATGTAGCACAATGCCAGATATCAATATGCCAACGCCACCAACTGGTCAGAGGTGGAAACTGGTGACAGGATGCCTAATTTCCGGTCTGCCCTAAGAAGCAAGACAAGCCAGAGAAAATGTGAGCCTGTAAGTTCTGAATGAAGCAGCAATGTGCCAAAACACAAAGCAGCAATGCTGTGAACATCCAAATAAGAGCAAAATGAGTGAGGACTAAAAGGACAAGGTAAAAGACCTAAGATGCACTCTGTGCAGGTGCATGAGGTAGACGTATGTCCCTGCACATAAAGTGAACCTGGTGGAAGCAATACAATATAATGTGTCAGTGAGCTCCAACATATAGTAGTGAAGTGCTAAAGTGTCTTCGGAATTTATCTGAGGTGGTGATATGGTGAGGCTGGCGTTTTGCTGATTCTGACTTTGTTGAACAAAGGATGGAGGTGATTGCTGCTGCCCATAGAGCATGCCATGATGAGTTCGTAAATGGAGGTGAAAATGGAATCCCAGAGAAGCAAGCTGAAAGCTGCATCTGCCAGGTAGCCGCTCAGGCTTTCAAGCTGGGAAATGACACGATATAGTTTATCACTTGTACCTAAGGGAATCATAAACTGCATATAAATGAGGCCAGATTAGCTATTAATAAGATGCAAATGCATGGAACTAAAGTCCTCACTGCTTACTAATGAGATTCTCATTTAGCCATTGAAACCTTAAGGGCAATATTGGACTTTTGTCGTGATATTGAGAATCAAATTTTATTTCATTCTCAGCACACTCTCCCAAATTTCTCAACATTGCCCATAATGCTCAAGGGCTGATGAAATTCCATGTTATGATTATTAATTTAAATAAAGGAACAAAAGTTTACTCAAATTAACAGAAAAGTAATTCTCTTCCAACTAAGTTACTACAGTAAATTGTCTCCCTTTTAGAACAAGTACTTCAAGCACTAAAAAGACTCTTTGGATCGTTTCTTCTTCCTCCTCCTTAGGAATTCCCTTCAGATCAAGATGACTGAATTCCACTCTGATTCAATGGATTTGGAGTCAGCTGGTAAGTCTCATTGCAATCTGCAAATTCTGCAGGTGAATTGTCAGATTAACCAAACATTCTGGATTTTCCAAGATCATCCTGTAATTTGGTTTCCCATCCTATATTTGGGTTTGCAGGAATGACATTTCTTCCAGATTCCTCCAGGCAGTGATTGAAGAGTTTGCTTGTTACTTCCTCTTGCTGCTGTGCAAGAATACAGTAGACATTTAGCCATAGGAAGCAGGGACAATTGCTGAAAATCTCCTCTCTAAAGTTGTATGGCTTTGACAGAATTGGTTAGGATTAGGGTTAGAGTGTGAAGTGTCCAGCACACAAGTGTCTGAGATGGAAGATGGAGCAAGGGTGCAAGGATGTAGAAGTTTGAGGGGCGGTGTCTGGCTACAGTGGGGAATCAAGGTGGGGGGCCCTTGTCTTGCGCTGTTAGGAGTGGTCAGGCTTAATGGAGTGATCTGGAGAAGGGATTTCTGAGCGATTGAGAGATATAGAATTTGGGGAGAGAATCTTCTGAATGAGCAGGGTAGAGGAGAGTTTGGGGAAAGTATAAGGGTGTGCTGTTTTGCATGTCCCATGGATCAGTGCAAAGCTTTAAGGGAGTAGCACATGGAGCATTTACAGGTCAAAGAGGCAGACTAAATATTAAAGAATTTTACGTGTACTATATTATAATGCACAAAAGTGTTTTATCTGGGCCTCATCATCCCCATTGATGCTCTATGTATTCTTCCCTTGAAGCTCCACCTTGGGTCTCTGGTTCAATCTTGCTCGCCAGCCCTTTATCTCCCTCCCATCACACTTCTAAATTTCTGTCAACAATCCTCTCTCAAGATAACATCAGATATCCACCCCTTCTCCCCTCATCTCACTCCTTCAGTCTCACCAGCACCCTTTCCCTGCTCCTTCAGCAAAGTGTCTGTCTTAATACCCCCAGGTTTGTTCACTCTGATCATCATGTTTTCTGATACCCTGACCTCAGCTCTGCATGTTCTGATGAACCCTCCCAATATATTCAGTCCCTTCCGATGGAAACGTTTGACATTATGGTCATCATGTTTGTCCCTGTTTAAGGATGTTTGAGAACTAAAGCCTCTGCTGTCCTTCTGCAAGTCTCATGCTGTTACTGAGTTCTGGTCTGAGAGGTTGCTTCATGATTTTGATGTCAGGTATACAAATACCTTGAATAGCTCAGCTGGTTTTGAGTGAGTGGCATCTCAATAGTAGACATGATTCAGCAGTTATAAAGGCAGTTGGTGGCTGGTTCAGTGGATCAGCAGGCTCAGAAAACGCCTGGAAAAAAGAACTGGAAAAAGATAGCTTCATACAACAAGCCCGACTCCATGGACCTAGCAACCCTCGGCAACACCAGGTGACAGGATTCCAACAGCCTCTGGTCCGCCCTCAAGGCCACCATCGTCAATGCCTGCAAAAACTCAGTCACTTAACCAGAAAACTCAAGACTGGTTTGACAAGAATGCTCAGGAGATCCAAGAGCTGATAAGCCGGAAGCGCATAGCATTGCTGAGCGTAAAGCAGCATTCGCACTCAGAAGAGAAAAGGCAGACCTATAGGTGTCTGAAGACCAAGGTTCAACAACAACCCACGATGTAAAGAACAGGTGGTGATGGAGACAGCACTGGAGGCCCAATGAATGGCCAACAACTATGACGAGCAGGGTTGCTTCTGTGCTGTCAAGACCTCCTACGGTTCAAACATCCAAGGCCCCAGCCCACTGCTGGCCAAGGATGCAGTGGCTCTTATCAAAGACAAAGAAGTCATCAAATAACTCTGGGGGTAGCACTTCAGAGAACTCCTCAACTAAGGCTCTGTCGTTGACCCAAACATCCTGAACTGCAATCCACTGCATGCAACCTGCCACGAGCTCAGCAACACCCCAGGCCCGCACGAAGTACAGAAGGCATCTACCAGCTCAAGAATAACAAGGTTGCTGGAGCAGACAGTATCCCTGTGGAGGTACTGAAGTGCAAAGGCAAGGGGCTCCTGATGCAGCTACACGTCCTTGTCTGCTTTATCTGGAAAAAGGAGACTATCCTGGGAGAGCTCCAAGATTCCACAGTTGTGAGCATTGTCAAAGAAGGGAACAAGTCCGACTGTGATAACTACAGGGGAATCTCCCTGCTGTTGAACATAGAAAAAGTCATTGCAAGGTCTTCCTCAACCATCTTCTCCCTGTGGCTAAGGAACTTCTCCCAGAATCCACCGTGGCTTCCGACCACAGAGAAGCACAACAGACATCATGCGACAGCTGCGGGAAAAATGACCTTCTTCAACCTTACAGAGGTCTTTGACACCATCAAATGACAAGCATTACAGAGCATCCTTCTCCACTTTGGCTGCACCATGAAGTTTGGCACCATCCAGTGGCTGCTCCATGATGACATGGAAGTCGTGGTAATGACAAATGGCTCCACCATGACTCATTCTCTGTTCGGACCGATCTCAAGCAGGGCTGTGTCACGGCTCCAACACTGTTTTTGATCTACCTTGCTGCAACACTTCACCTCACGGCCGACCAGTTCCCCACTGGAGTGGAGCCAACCTACAGAACTAGCAGGAAATTATTCAACCTCCACCACCTTCAAGCCAAAACTAATGTCACCCCAACCAGTGTCATCGAGCTGCAGAATGTAAATGATGCGTGTGTATGTGCAAACTCAGAGGACAAACTCCAGACCATTGTCAGCACCTTTACGGAGACATATGACTTCATGGGTCTCACCCTAAACATCTGCAAGATGAAGGTTCTGCATCAGCCTGGCCCAGAACCCCCAATCATCAAGGTCCACAGGGAGGGCTTAGAAAATATTGACCACTTCCAATACCTCAGGAGTGTCCTGTCGACAAAAGCAGATATTGATGAAAAGATCTAGCATTACCTCCAATGTGCTAGAGCAGCCTTTGGCCTCCTTAGGAGAAGGGTATTCGAGGATAACAACATCAGATCCGACACACCCAAGATCATGGTTTACAGAGCTGTGGTGGTTCCTGCCCTCCAATATGCCTCTGAGATGTGGATTGTCTACAGCAGATACCTCATGGTGCTGATGCAGTACTACCAAGGCTGCCAGCACAAGATCCTGCAAATCCACTGGGAAAACAGATGCACCCAACATCAGCATCGTCAACCAGGCCAACATCCTCAGCATTGAGGCACTGACCATCCCTGATCGGTTGCGATGGGGCTAGGCACCTTGTCCGCATGACCGACACGAAACTCCGCAAGCAGGCGTTCCACTCCCCAGACTGAAATGGCAGGCGAGCCCCAGGTGGACAGAGGAAGCACTTCAGGGATACCCTCAAGACCTCACTGGCAAAACGCAGCATTCCCACTGACATCTGGGAATCACTGGCCCAAGACTGTCCAAAGTGGAGGAGAAGCATCCAGGAAGGGATCGAGCACCTCAAGTCTTGCTGTCAGGACAAAGTGGAAGCCAGGCGAAAACAGCGTAAGGAATGTGCTGCTACACCTACTCACCTCTTCCCACAACCACGTTATGCCCCAAGTTAGGCAGAGTCTGTGGAAACCACATTGGACTGTGCAGCCACCTATAGTGAGTCATCCTCATCTGCATGGGACTGCCACGATGATGGAACAGCAGCATCAGAAAATAGTTAAAACAGTCAGTAAATTGGAATCTTTGTGGTCTCCGCTTGATTTTCTGAGGAACAGATTGAGAGTACACTCAGGGAGCTCATGGGCAGAACATGAAGCCAGTTGTGTCATTAGGAACATTTTACAGCTGCAATATCTCTTTCTCCTGGCACAAGGGCCAGATGCCCATGTCAGCAACTTGGCAAGATAAGGAAGGTAAATGCATAGCTGGAAGGCTATCATTACTAGAGTAATATTAAGCGGGAATTCAACAGTAAACAGTCTGACGATAGTGTAAACCTAGCACCAGCAGGAGCAACACCCTCAGGTGAGTACTTTGGATATTTTGCATTAAGAGGATCTTGGTGTCACTGCACTAACACCAGTTTGGAGAGGTAAGGGACAACACTGACCTATGAAGTTGTATCATAAATGGAAATGTAGGATCCACATAATGTGAAATGTGGTGGCCCACTGAGGCGTTGGTACAGTATCCACAGCAGTCAGGGTATCAAGCTCGGCCAACTATTGCGGATTCTAATACATGGAATGCCTGAAGCATTGCAGGCAGAAGATAGTGTGCACCAGACACATCAACGGTTAGCTTCCTTGACCTGTCAGAGCAGCAGTACCTCTAAAGGCTGCAGCTGTCAGGTCAGGTAGTCACTAGCTTATTAATACTGATGGAAGCTGATCTAGTGCCAAATGGAGCATTTAACCATCTGTTGCTGATGGAAGTGAAGGTGACTATTGATTTGGACATGATTTTGTTCATTTGTGGTAAGTGGGCATCACTGGCTGACCAGCATTTATTGCCTGTCCCCAACTGCCCTTCAGAACCTGGTGGTCAGTTGCTTTCTTAAACCACTGCAGTTCACATGCTGTGAGTTGACTTACAATCCATTAGAGAATGAATTCCAGGACTTTGACCCAATGACAGTGAAGAAATGGTGACATATTTCCACGTGAGGATAGTGAGTGATAGTGAGTTGGAGGGGAACATGAAGGTGGTGGTGTTCCCATACATCTGCTGTCCTTGTCCTTCTAGATGGAAATGGTCATGGGTTTGGAAAATACTGTCTGAGGATCTTTGGTGAATATCTGCAGCGCATCTTGTAGTTAGTGCACATCGGTGTTACTGAGCACTGGTGATGAAGGGAGTGGATGTTTGTGGATGTGATTCCAATTAATTAGGCTGCTTTGTCCTGAATGGTGCCAAGCTTTTTGTGCATTGTTGGAACTGCACCCATCCAGACAAGTTGGGAGTATTCCATCAAGACAGCAGAGACAGGCACGGGAATTCCTAGAAGCCTGGTACTCCACGAAGAAAGCCATCAATGAGCACATAGAACTTGACCCCATATACACTCCACCTCGAAGAAAAACCGAAGTG